TTCTGAATCAGGAAGAAAGTCAACGTTTATAAAGCTTTTAATAAGTAAATTAATCATATCAGAGCAAACGGCGGAATAAAGGCGCATCTATCGATCTCAATAAGCTTTTTTCAGCACATAATTCGACATCTTGTTTTATTCAGCATTGTACACTGTTATACAGCATTTATTCAATGTGTATGCTTATTTGTGACTGTGAATTGTTTGTTGGGAAATCAACTGAATCATTAATTAAATTTCAAAATAAAACCGTTCGATTTATCAACACTAAATTTTGTTGCACGGGTACTGTATTTGGTAAAGTTAAAACAACTTTCAGAAAATGAAATAATGAAATTATGTTGTTAGCGGAATGCTTAAATAAAACAGCGAAAAAGGGTTATCTTCCATTTAATTTCACTTAAATAATTTTGGTATCCATGACAGATACGTATTTCGACTACAATGTGCAGTCTTATCAGTGTCATTCCCACTAAAGACTTATCAAAAACCTAACCCCCTAAGTACTCATCCCAAAGGTAAAAATGTCAAGATCACAGGTATAAAAATGAAAGTACGAAGCATGGGTCACTGGAAACCGGCAAGCGCATTCCTCGATTGGACTTCTTCTGGAAGACAGTCAATTGCATCTTATAAAGAAGTCAAAAACTGCAAAGCAAACCTGGAAGGCGCTCCGGGACCACTACGAGAAGCCGACGCTAACTTCCAAAGTGTCATTGCTGAAACAACTATGCGACAAGCGGTATGCTGATGACGATTACATCGGGCAGCACGTTTGCGAGATGGAAGACCTCTTCGCGCGACTATCGTTTTCGGGCCATGCATTGGACCGTAATTTGCAGGTAGCAATGGTGCTACGAAGCTTACCCGAATCCTTCAACACACTCACGACGGCGTTGGAGACTAGGTCCGACGACGACTTGAGCCTCGAGCTGATCAAGTTCAAGCTAACGGACGAGGTGGCCAAACGGGGAAACGGAGGATGCGGCGAATCCGTGCTCAGGGCTGATTCTGCGAAGAAGAAGACGCTGGTTTGTAACTACTGCCAGAAACCGGGTCACAAACATAAACAGTGCAGGGCTCTAATGGAAAATCGCAGCGACAAGGTGAAATCGAGTAAGCTGCACGAAAAGCGCCGTAATCCAAAAGCGAAGACGGCTCGTCAAGACTCCAAGGACAATGCGTCGCAGAATTTTACATTCTTGGCGTTGCATAAGGCGAGTGGACGTGATGCGTAGATCATCGACTCTGGCGCGACGTCCCACATGTGCGTCGATGCGGACAGTTTAATCGAGCTGGATGGCTGTAATGTACGTCCCGCAGTTCGAGACCAACCTTCTCATATCGGTGAAGAAACTTGCAGCCAAGGGAGCCAAGTTCTTGTTCGACGCGGATGGGTGTCGTATCCTTAAGGTGATTCCAGGCACAACCACTTCAGGAGGACTGTACAAACTGCGGACTGAGCATGCTGCGCTGGAGGTGAGTGAGTCCAACCACAATCCAGAGTGTTTGCACACTTGGCATCGTATCCATGGGCATCGTGAGCCAGATGCGATTTGTGATTTGGAGACGGAAGGACTAGCATCGGGAATCCACATCGAAGATTGCAGGTGTTACGTTACTTGCGAGTATTTCCTGGAAGGGAAACTGGCCCGTCTACCATTTCCAAAGAAGTCCAAGAAGAAATCCAAGCAGCCGCTGGACATTATCCATACGGAAGTCCAGTCCATAGAATTTATAAGCCAGCAGTTTACCACAGCGTACACCCCGCAGCAGAAAGGGGTCTCGGAGCGTAAGAATCGTTCTTTGGTGGAGATGACCCGCTGCATGATTCTGGAAGCGCAGCTGCCGTATTAGTATTGGGCTGAAGCAGTGAATACGGCCACATACCTTCAAAATCGTTTGCCAACCAAGCTCTGGACTGGAGAGAAGCCTGATCTCAGCCACCTCAAGATTTTCGGTTCGTGGGCTTACGTGTGGATTCCATCCGAGAAGCGCTGCACCATAATGCCTACCGTTTCATTGACCCCGAGACGCACAAGATGATCACGAGTAGAGATTGTCGCTTTCTGACATATCGGGAGGTTCGGAAAACCGAACCTTCGCAGGGAAGTATCGTTTCATATCCTTTTACTGAAATTTCTCCGACAATGGTCCCGCTTTTACAGCACCTGAGGAAGACGATGATGGATGATGCTCCCATAGCAACGGACTCCGAGGTCGATGATGATCAAGACAACGGTGAATCCAGCGACTTCAACGGTTTTGACGACACAATCCGTCCGGGTGACGCAGTACCACAGGCAACCGAGCACACTGCCATAGAGGTAACTCTAAGACTAGAAGGTCCCGAAATAACGTGTTGAACTTTTTGGCTCAGCTCTGGTACTCTCTTCGGTCCTAAGCTAATCGATTCACCCCTCGAAACATAGGAAAAACCAATAACCCCTCATTTTATCTGTCAAACTTTCATAGCGAATCAAAACAAACATTGCGTAGTACTAGAATTTCGACTAGAATGGGGTACGTTAATCGTTTGCTTGGGACCAATCGGCTAGTCAAGTAGTGAGCCAATTTAAAATCGTTAGTTTCGTATTGATTGTTGACACTACCGAGGGACAGGAGGAGTTTGGCACTACCACAAACGATCGCCAATCCAGCCCGCGCCACAGAGGTTCTTGACTGTCCAGGAGTACTGCGAGCCCCGTTCGTTCGAAGACACGATGAAGTGCTCGGAGCAAGATTTGTGGAAGCGCACTATGGAGGAGGAGATCCAATCCTTGCACGAGAATGGCACTTGACAGGTCGTTCCTTTGCCCAACGATTGCAGACCTGTTGGCTGCAAATGGGTGTATAAAATGAAGATGGACGGTGACGGTAATGTCACCCAATACAAGGCAAGACTTGTCGCACAAGGATTCAGCCACGATACGGTACCGATTATGACGAGGTTTTACCCCCGTCGCGAAGCAGACTACCTTTCGCACGCTGTTGTCGATTGCCGCCAGGAGGATGCTACTCCTGGAGCATGTGGACGTAAAATCGGCCTACCTGTACGGGGACCTAGCCGAAACCATCTACATGAGGCAGCCACCTGGATTCTCGACCGGTACGAAGAACGACGTGCGCCTGCTACGAAAAAGTTTGTACGGGCTGAAGCAGGCAGGACGAGTATGGAATCAGCGAATCACCGAAGTACATACTGCAAAGCTTGGGGTACGTGCCATCGGAAGCAGATCCTTGTCTGTTCTTGAGGAAGAAGCATGGTCGTTCGTCATTTGTACTGCTTTACGTGGACGACATGCTTACAGCTAGCCAGGATGAAGTGAAGTACTTCAAGATAACCACCCTCGGAGATGTCAGCAACCACCTTGGTATTCGTATTGAACGAGGACAGGATGGACGACTCCTGCTGGATCAAGCCTCGTATATCCGTAGAAACGCTGCAATATTAGGACGAGCAGACGCCAAACCATCCCGTATACCAATGAACCCAGGTTACCCGAAGCAACAGCAAAAGGAGGAGAAACCACTGCCACGGAAGGACGATTTCTAGTGCTTAGTGGGTGCTTTGCTGTATGTTGCGGTAAACACGCGGCCCGGTAAGTAACCCTAGCTGGGGCACACGGTAAGCAACCCTAGCCAGGCTGACTGGACCGAAGCCAAGCGGACTCTGCGGCACCTGATGTCGACTGCGGATTTAAAGCTGGAGCTCGGTGGACCTGGCCAACTGCAAGCATACGTGGATGCTGTCTGGGCCGGAGATCAACAAGACAGCAAATCAAACTCGGGCTTTGTTCTGCATCTGGGCGGACCGATTTCCTGGGCTGCTCGGAAGCAATAGTGTGTAACCCTTTCGTCGACCGAGGCGAAATACGTTACCCTAGCCGAAACTTACCGGGAATTGCTCTGGTTGCAGAAGCTAATGAAGGATGTTGGTGAGAAAGCTGCCGGGCTGATCGTTGTCCGCGAAAATAATCAGAGCTGCATAGTAATGCTGCGAGCTGAAGGAGGAAGTCGAAGAACCAAGCACATCGACACGCGGTTCAACTTCATCCGAGACTTGGTAAGCAGTAACGTAATCCAGGTTGTATACTGCCCTACCGAGTCCATGATCGCCGACGCCTTAACCAAGCCGCTGGCGACAGTGAAGCTAGAAACCTGCCGGAAGGAGATGGGACTTCAATCGATCCATTTTTCATTCTTCCTTATTTCCTCCATTTTCCTTCCTTGTGGTTTATAACAGCCCATCCATATCCATCTCCTTATTCCATGCAATTTTCCTACCATAGTTGATTTTTTACACCCTTTCGGACTTGTTTCACACAAATGACCCTATTTAGTTTATATATGTACATCAATTTCTGACTAATTCAACTAACAATAAACTTTAACATTTTTACTTTTCAATGGTTTAACTAAAAATTCTACAGATACTACTAACCCAACACAGACTAAAAAACACTACAGTTTGTAAACACCATGCACATATTGAAATCATGGACACTGTAACTCGACGGTTACAGGAGTCTTACCAAATAAACAAATTGAAAAAAAACCTTAGGTAAAACAAATCTTCAAAAGTTCAGAAATTTGCCTGTTTGCATGAAAATCAAATTTTTTTTTCCAGTTTTCTTCCAGGTTTTTACCATGTGAAACTGTTGGCAATCCTGACTATGACTGAAATTTCATTCGGTTAAACAACTCAAAAAATTAGGCGTGAGTCAAAATGGCCGAATTCCTGCATAAACTTCGTTCACTGCTCCCGGTTAATGATTTTGTGCAATTTCATGGATTTCGGAGAGGGAAAAATAAAATCGTTTCGTCAGTTGGCATGGAACTGCTTAAAAGCAAAATTATTCTAAGCAATCGATAAGCGAAGATCAGCAGCTAAATTCCGAGCATACATTTCACCAAGAAATTTCTACATAAACCTAATATGTAAAAATTTCATTCTCTTCGACGAAAATGTACACCCGGAATTCAGCTGGAGATCAGATCACTGATCGACCTTGTCCGCATTAATCATCACGCATACAAACATACTCCCTTAGTAGGCAATCAAATTTAGTGCTAACTCATCCGTTCAAATTCGCCGGCATCAGCAACAAATTTCCAAACATTGGCATGAGAAAATCCGTTATTCTCCAAGCAAACATTAGGCGGCAGCTCGAAGCGGGCAAGGTGAATCATGTTTCTCATTCGCGTCTCCGTCAGTCCGTGTCTCCCCGGATCGCCTATGTAGATCTACAATGACGAATTGAAGTAGAAAAAAAAAATTGAATAGTAAATCGAGATCGAGTTTATGAATGAATTCCGCTCACATCTTTTCCCGCGATTGCCAACTTGTTCAACCACGGCATTAGCACGTCAGCGATTTCGGCATCGTAGAAAAGGTCGCCAATCAGTATGACGTCATAGCGATCACATGGCGCTCCGATTAGGTTGGTCCCGTCCAGCTCCAACCGCAGCTGCTCGACGATGTTAAGTTCCGCGTTGAGAAGCGTGGCCTGAAGGGCAACTGTCGAATTAGATCAATTGATTAGCTACGTTCGAAATTAACACCTCTCGGTTTGGGGAGTTACAAACCCGTATCGATGTCATTGGCAGTGACGAAACTGGCACCCGATAGGAGCGCTGCAATGGAAGAAGCTCCACAGCCACAACCGACGTCCAGAACGGCTTTCCCGGAGAACAATCGCCCGTTATCTAGAATGAATCTGCGGGTACAAGTACGCTATCATACCGGTATTGATATTGTTGTAAGAAATTCAGTTCGCACCTGGTCAATGCTTGTCCGCCGGGCCAGAAAAATCCCCAGAACGGTTCGGCAGCGAAGCAAAAGCTGTCGTCGATGGGTCTGTGGTAGATGGTGCACTCTTCGGTGATAAGGTGCAGCGTCAACTGGGGTGTCAGGTGCTGGCGAGAGGTTTTCGTGTTTTGCAGTATCTTGCTGCGATCCGAGGGGTCTACGCGATTGGCGGCCGACGACGATGCGGGAGGGGTGGAATACCTGCTGGAAGAGATAACGTTCTAAATTACTCTGGCAAAAATTATTACTTAAGGTATTTTCATTAAACTATATAAATTCGTTTGACGTATTAGCAGTAAGTTACTAACACAATTGGTTTCTTTAATTTTGAGAAATCTCAAAAGCTCAAGTTGGTACACCACCTGTGGTCGATGTTACCGATTTGAGCCAAACTTGGTCAAAACGCTTATTTTGGCATTGTGAACAAACGCCTTTTTTGATTTTGCTCTGAATTGCCTAGATTTCGTTAGGCTACAACCCTGGATTTTCGTGATTTTCAAAAACTTTCATCTTTCAGAAGAGATAACCAGATAAGCTATTCGTGATCTTAGAACGATAATTTGAAGTTTTTTTAACGTAAATTCTTATAGATGTACCCAAATTTTGTTTTTGTTATAGCAACTACAGTAAACAGGCTCATTACCGGCAGGACTTGACTTTTTTTTTACTTTAAATGATCTTTATTTCTTGAATTTGTGTGGTTAACATGTATTACTTATCAAGTGACACAGATGCGTCTTTACAACTTTAGTTATTTTGAAATTTCAGGCCTGTTTTAAGAATGACCACCTTGGTGGGATTGGTTTGTCGATTACAGACAGGTATCGAAATTGTAAAAAATTGCCTATTTGCACCATGGGCGGGATTTTTTATTGTCTAATATTTTAGGCTCAAATTTTCACTACACTTTGGAAAACTCTTCTACTTGATGAGTTTCCACAACAAAAACAAAATGTGGGTACACCAATAAGAACCTACATGAAAAAAAATTGACGTTCTAAGACCACAAAAGATTCTGAAGGATGAAATTTTGAAAAATCTCAAAAATCCACGGTTGTAGCCCAGAAGGATCTGGGCACTTTAGAGCAAAATCAAAAAAGGCGTTTGTTTAGAATCTTAAAATAAGCGTTTTGGCCAAGTTTGGCTCAAATCGGTGACATCGACCACAACTTTTTTTAAATTCTGTACCCACTTGAGCTGACATAACTTCGTTTTCTGAGCACAACGATATTTTTTTTTTGAACCTATAGACTTTTATCCAGAGTTGTGACCTATCACAATCACGATCGTCAAATAGCTGATGGTAGTAACGCTTGGTACATTCCTATCAATGTGCTTGTCGAAGCACTCTCCAGGACCATCCATCAAGTTGACGAAAGAAGTAAAAATCAACTGGTGAATGTCGTCTTCGGTGGTGAACCATCATTCCTGACAATCACGACACTCAAATGTGCTCGTTTTTAAGCAGTTGCTGCTTTGCTTGCTGATGTGAGTGTGTTGGTGAGTAAGCCCAACAGCTTCCGTTTAATTTTGCCAGCTTCGTTTGTAACTCACACAGTCGCGCGTGCCGAGACGAAATTTGAATGTGTGGGCTTTGTTTTCATTTTCTTCTGTCATCACTGTTTTCGTTGTGCTTCACATCATCAGCAGCGAGTGTTGCGTTTTGGCTGTGAGCAGCGACCATTACTGGTGATTGTTGTTTATCATGGTCTAGCTCTCACTGCGTGACAAAACGTTCTGTCAGCGATAGTCAGTTGATGCGTTGACGACTGTCGAGTGAGTGTCATGATATTTTACATCACTGCGTTCATCTCGATTTTTGATTCCAGACTTTAAACAAAATAATAACTTCACTGTTTGACACTAAGCTCTGAGCACTCGCTTCCATAAAAAGTTTTATAATAATAGCTAATATGGTGATTTTTGCTAATATAATCGCACTTATTTGAAATAGGTCCAAAGTTGATGAAATTTTTGGATTTTAGTTTCATTTGTCATGCAGGACGCATTTCGCGCCAAATCGTATTCGGAGCTGGCAGCACCCTCTCAGATTTCAATGAAACTTTCTGGATGTGTGGACCTTGACTAAATATGCCACTTTGCATACTTAGTTTTTCCAAAATTTATCTAGACTAACATTTGAGAAGGGCCAAACTTTTTCTGCCGATTTTTTTTCAAAAAAATATTAATGAAAAATGATAACTCCGACAAAAATGTGTTGTATGGATGACTTTTAGGAAATTGTCCAAGTTATCGAAAGAAAATACTGGAAAAAAAATTTCATTTGAGACCTACACTGAAAAAATCGATTTTTAAAATTTAAAGTCGATTTAAAAAAATGGCCATGTTTGATTTGGATAAAACTTTGCCTCAAGATAGGTAATTTTGTTTACTATCAACCGTCCATACATCGCGAGATGGGCACTTTTAAGGAAAAAAAGTTTTTCTTACAAAAACTTTTTCATGTCTGAACTGATTTTTTTTTTGATTTGCCATTTTCACACAAAACTAAACCAGTGAAGCTCAAAATCATCTCAGAATCCAATGAAGCTCAATTTGCGATTCAATTTTGTCTAGAACCGTTTTGAAGGCCTTTATTAAAAAATTGGGTTGTTCAGGAGTATTGAAGTAAATACATATTCGAAATCTGCTTCAAAAATGGAACTGAATTCCAAAATTTTCAAAATTTTGGTGCGCTGTAACTAAAGATTGTACTTGACAAAAATGCAACACTTTCTCTTGTGTATAGCTTTTATTGCATGAATAAAAATTTATGAAATTTTGAGTAAAACTAGTTTAGAGTGTAATCTGTCAAACGGTTATCGAGATGGCTTCCAAGCAAGAAGTGCTTCGACAACAATTAATGGGAGCGGTCGTGGAAAATCCAGGCCAGTCCCACAGATGGATCGCAAAACAGTTTGGAATCGACAATTCGACCGTGTCCCGTGCGGTAAAATCGTTCAAGGAGACCCAGATGACCCAGCGGCGAGCTGACAGCGGAAGAAAAGCGAAGACGACCGACCCCGTGAACGTAAGGAAGGTGAGGGATTACTTCAAGCGCAATCCGAATCTTTCGATTCGGGACGTGGCCAAGAAGGCCAATTCGTCCAGCAGAAAATGAAGCAGGCCGGACTTCATGCCTTCAAGATAAGGAAGGTGCCTAAGCGAACCGATAAACAGAATAGTGGTTGGTGCCGCCGAAATGCATCGTAATGGACGTGAGGCGTACATGAAATCAAATGCCAAGCAGATCCCCGGCCTGGAGTTTTTTGTCGGCAAGTCCCACCTGGATGTTCCGGAGAAGTTCCGGAAGAAGAAGGTCGACAAATTTGCCAAGAAGTATTGCCAGTTCACAGAAATATTAGCATTCATTTTTTTTTTTCAGAAACAAGAAGACACAACCGCAGCTGTTATACATTCCAAACACTGACACAAAACATACTATGAATTGTAGACTCCAAACTTTCATAAAATTCAGATCTAGTCTAAACAAATTCTTCTGAGATACGGTCTGGCGCAGGTTCGGGCATATTTGACACTACTATGTAATCACAACCGGATCAATTATATCTGATTCTTAAACCTCATATATATTAAAAAGCATTTAATCAGCTCAAATTGTTTGTTGGGCTGTTTGTCCGAGAAATAAATTTTGGAAGTTTGAGAATAACAAATATCATTTATTTCCCGTTTACGGACAAACTGAACTGTTTTCCGCTGAACCGCTAGATGGCTTGGTTGACGGCTTCGAACGTGATGAGTATAGCTGGATCGCTCAAGGATCGTTATAAAAACTTTTCCGGTTTACCTAACTTAACTAGATTACAGGCTAGAATGCATGATGAACTTCTGCAGCGAATCCAAACACATAAAGCAACCAACGATACATACAAAACGGTTGCTACGACTACCATGACAAACTCTCTGGGTAACATAGCTCAATCGGAGTGGTAGAAGGATAATGCTATATTGCTTGCCTGCTTTGTTGAAATACACACGAATGAGCTGTGTTGCACGGAGTGAGCTGTGTTGTACGCCCCGAGTGAGCTGTGTTGCACGGACTGGTTGTTATGAAAAAAAGGAAGAAGATTATATCTAGACCAACAATTGAAAAAAGCCGGAACAACCAAACGTAAACAATGGCTTTAAACACAAAATTCTCGAGAATCAAAACACTCCCACACAAGCTAACAATGCCATTCGATAAAGGAAGTTTGCTCTATCAGATGATGATGTTAGATTTCTTGGATGTGCTTTGATTCTCGAGGAATTTACCTTTAAAGCCATTGTTTACGTTTGGTTGTTCCACCTATTTCAATTGTTGGTCTAGATATCATTAGTGCTTTCCACTTCTGGCATAGCGTTAACATTCGGTTCGTTGATCGCTTGTCATTTTGTCATTTATAGATATTTTTGATTCCTTGAATTTCCGGTATATTTGTATGCGGCTGCTGGATTTTCAGCTCGTTTATCGACTGCATTTTGTACTTCAAATAATCTTTATTTTCTTCTATCTAAATCATGCAAATCGGAGATGGCACAGCTGTAACGCTATAAATCCGCACACAAACTTAATTTTTCTTCGATTTTTACTCTGAATTTTCATTTGTTTAATCTAGGGGCATCCCACTCTAAGCCTTAGTTGCGATATTTATTGAATATTTTTCAATATTTTGCAAGTATTCTTAAACATTTTTTAAGTATTTTAAATCATGGTTTTATTTTCATTGTAGTAACGTTTGATTTATGTTCGGTTTCTAGTGCTGTATTTGTTGTTTTTTTCAATAAATTTCGTCACGTAAAAGAATAGTTTATTTGAAATGAAGTGTGGATTCGTTGTAAGGGGTATGTATTTCAAATTTGTCTACGTAATGATATAACAAAATGTCTGATTTTCAGTGATCAAGAATGTAAGAATGAAGTGAAGCAAGGTTGCAAAGACTCATTTCAGCTAAAATAATGTTTTTCGGAATAATAAAACCAAAAGATGGTATGATGGCATGTTTTACTTGTAACTTACAAGCAGAGGTTACAAAGTATGCGTTGGAAACATAAAACCTGTAAATGTTGCTTTCTATGAGTCACAATCAGCGATTTGCTGATCGCTGAGTGAGTGAGTGAGTGAGTGAGTGAGTTTGTGAAAAATCGCTGATTGTGACTCTCATGAAGTGAAATAAACAGGTTTAATATGTCAAACACATTCT